CCCTGGGGGGATTTAAAAGCTGGGCAGACGAGGTGCTTAGGGACAGAGTTTAGTGGTGGGATGGCAGTGCTAGGTTAACAGTTGGACGTGATGATCTTGAAGGTCTTTTCCAACCTAGACGATTCTATGATTCTAAGAGGCTTTTGGTTGCTGCTTGAGGGAGGTGGCAGGCAGAGGGGATCCAGGATCAGCAGCCTCTGCTGGGGCTCAGAGCGGGTTTGGGTCTGCTGTGCTCCGCTGGGGAGCTCAGCGACCCCTGCCAAGGAGCAATGGATAATTTATCCCTGCCAACCCCCATCCTGGCTCCCAGCAGCTAGAGCCTCAGGTTTGGTTTGGTTTTTGGCACAGCTGAAAGGAAAGCCCATCTACGTAGGATGCCAAGAAGGGAGTGAGGTGGGATGTGAACATGGCAGGCTGAGGGTGAGGGGCAGAGCCTGGGACATTTTTTTTATTATTTTCTAAAGTTTAGTAAAAGACAAGCCCCCTTTTCACCCAATTTTCTCGACACGTGCCGTTAGAAATCCCGCCACGAGCACGTAACAGCCCTGCTGTGGGTGAGCCCATCGCAGGAAGCAGTGCTCAGTTCCTGTCCGAGAACGGTTCAGGCTTATCTCCAGCTCTCCAGCTTCCTGCTGGATGGAGCCAGCCAGGGGTAAGGAGAACCAAAAAAAGGAAAGAAAGAGCAAAAAGGCAACGGGGCTGCAGAAGGAGCCATCAAGCGCCTGTCAGGGGGAGGAAGCACAAAGTGTGGAGTCACGGTGGGGCTCCAGCCCCGTTCCTCCTTTCCTAGAAAGCTGCTGGCTCCTCGCCCTTATCACAGCATTCAGAAGGGCTCCCGTTGCCTCGGTTTCTCATGAAGACAAATACAGGAAGAATTCCTTTCCCAGCCCAACACTGCCAGGATCTGCTGCCACGCATTCCCGGCCAGACAGCAGCCACCTTCCCCCTCCAAGGGGTTCTCCATCTCCCTCCTACAGCCCAAATCTTTCTACATTCAAAGTCCTGCAGCAGACTGGCACAGCTTTTCCCTGCAGCAAAGGAGGGGTTGCACAAGTCCCAGCGCCACTGGTTCAGCTCCTTCCCTGCTCCTGGGAAGCTGGACCCCAACACTGCAGCCTCCCAGCACTGGAGAGGTTCCCCATCCAGGACATGGAGCTTGCCCAGATTCGGGCTGGCTGAACCCAGGAATGAATTTGTGCGTTTTAAGCCAACAAGTAGAAAAGTGCAAATGATGTCAAGGAGGCCCTGGCTGGCTTACAGCCCTCTGGAAACAGTGGCCACGCAATGGCCAGAAAATACATCAGCAGGCGTGTTCCTCCCCCGTGGCCTCCCACTCCCACCCTCACCACCTGGACACCGCTGCCAGGGGGGACGACAAGTCACCCCTCTAAATCAGCTCCCTGTCACCCGCCCACCCTGCAGGCTTGCCCCACGGGGCTCCCCGCTGCGGGAAGAGGTGCCTGGTTTATCCCAGAGCCCATCAACCATCACAAACATTCCTGTCCCAGGGTGGGGGGGCGGGTGTGTGTGGAATCACTGGAAAGATATGCTGGGGAAAAGCAGGCTGGGCAGGCAGGTTTTTAAGTGCAGCACTGCATGATACCTGGAGATCCAGGGGGACTCCCAGGTCCTCAGAGGACACTTAGCACTTTATGGGATTAACAGCATCATTCCTACCGCAAGATTTCCATGGCAAAGCTATTTGCATCCTTCCCCTGGGAGCCCTAAACATCATGATTGACTCAGGACTCACAGGAGCCTCCCCAGCAACAAAATTACTGCAGAAGGCAAAGGGAAAAGTTACTGCGCCAGCGATGGGGCGTTTGGCTCCAACGCCCTCGCAACTCCCAGCCTATTTTTGTCCCCCCAGTCTCCATAGACTTGTGGATGCAGCCCCAGGTAGGAGTGACCCGGAGGCAGCCCAGGCTTGCTGGTGACAAACTCATGGCACAGGGGCTTCATCCACTGGGATACACCCCGCAAACCCCACTTTCCCATCAGCACGGCCCAGACGGCATCGGCTCCCCATCACGGAGGTGCTGCGGGGGCGTACATGTTCCTACCTCCTCTATCACGAGCCATCCTGCAGCCCTTGGCTGAGATGCTCCCCAGCTCCACCTCCCCTTTGACCACCTCTGTCCCACTTCAGGGAAGGGGGTTTCAGCTCAGCATCTGCTCAAGCTCCCTCCAGGATGGGAAACCTGATGATTTTATCCCCTAATTGCCGCCTCCAAACCCCGAGGGCAGGGCCAGGCAGGGTGCTGGCAGAGCCAGCTCCATCCCTGAGCTCCCTCGCTGTGGGAACTCACACATCCCCAGGGCATCTCCATTTTCATCTTGCAGGCAACCACAGACAGCATCAGCTTCTCTGCAGGAGAGCTCCTGGGAGGACCCAAAGCACAGATGCCACCACAGATTAAGCTAAAACTTTCCAGCAGCTTCTCTAAATCAAACCCTGCTCTAGCCTTGCCTCTACCTTTCCTCCAAGGGAACCAGAGCTGGTGACACCTTGGGTGGGTGAGACCCTGGAAGATCTGCCATGATAATCTCCAAAGTGATTTTAGAGCCACGTCTCAGTGTTAAGGCTTGGCTGACTTTTTCCAAAAGGAAAAGCGAGTGGATGGGCAGCCTATTGGTCAGTAAGGCTGGTCAAGGTCTCCAAAAAAGAAATAAAACTCAGTTCCCTGCATCAGCACTCGGTGGGGTCAGTGATCACAAGAAACCATAATTAAATCCTTCCCTCCAAAGTCGGGGTGGAGCAGGAGTAACCAATAACCCCTGGCTCCATAGGAAGGCAGCGCGGGTGCCAGAGGTCTGCAGTGGGAGCAGGAGCACAAACGAAGGCACTGCCCCTTTAAAAAGAGCAGGGGGGGGGGCACTATCAGAGATCTCCCCCACCCCAGGGAAATTAAACAAACCCACAGAAAAAAACCCCTCATTTGGTAATTAAGACAATGCGGTCCAGATGTTGGAGGCAGGGTTGCTGAGCAGCGTTTGCATAGCCTGGCTCTCCGGGGGCCGGTTGCTGGCAGCGGGATGGCTCCCTTGCTGCTTGTCACGTCTGTCTGTCCATGAGCACAACCCTGAGCAGCCCTGGAAATATTTCCTTTTTTGGAAGCCTTTGCTGATGTGGATTAAAAAAAAAAAACCAAACCCAACCAAAACCCAACCCCATCACAGCCCCCGCTGCAGCGTCAGGACACCAGCCCGGCCCAGGAAGGTGGCTGGGAAGGAGCGAGCCCAGCCCAGGCAGCCGTTCCCCCTCCGGCGCGGGGAGCGAGGCCCCTTATCATGCCACAAATTTTGGCTGCTTCCTGGGGGAGCCAAGGCTCAGCACAAGCATCTTCATTCACACTGAGATCCTGGTGGTATCCGATGGGCACAGCGGAGGCATCCCCCACAGATGCGCGCTGACCCCAAAGCATCGGGCCCCACAGGTACAGTCCAGCAGAACTTCCCAGCCTGGGTTGCTTTTTCCCAGGTCTTTTCCCAGTCCTGGTGGGCACCACAGGCATGGGTGCAGCCGGAGGAAGCAGGGTTTCACGGATAGAGGGGCAAAAGCAAGAAAAGCCTTGGCAGAGGGGAAACCACTCCCAGTTGCGAAGCCCCAAAGGGGGTTTCATCACCTCTCCGAAGGGGGTTTCATCACCTCTCCAAAGGGGGTTTCATCACCTCTCCAAAGGGGGTTTCATCACCTCTCCGAAGGGGGTTTCATCACCTCTCCATCCCAGCCTCATCTCCCCTTGTCTCTGCCCTGGGGCTGCTCTCCCGTCTGTTGGGAAAATCCCACCTCTTACGCCCCACGGACTGGCCCCCAGGGCAGCATTTTTGGCCAGGATCGTGGCAGATCTTCCAGGCTCTCACCCACCCAAACAGGCTATTTTAAACCCACAGCTCGGCTCTCGCATCCTCTTTAGCTCAGTAACCAAAACCAGGCACCTTGTCTTCCCCCCCTCCAACCTCTTTCCAATGTAAAAAAAAGGCTTTTAAACCCAAACCCTGACTTCTGATCAGTGTTTTTTCTTCCTCCCACCAGGCCCCCTTTCCCTTTCCAGCCCTTCCAGCAATTAAACTCCTCTTGTTGAAGGCTAACTCAGAAATTTAGAACCGCTTGATAAACAATATTAAGAACATTTAATGATGTGTAATCAAAAAAATGTATAGTTAGCATTCTTAGAACAAGGACATCCTGGAGCAAGTGGGCCTGGAAAGGACGGCTAATCAAAACGTTTTGGAAAACATCTGAAACTTGGCAAGTAAGCTCAAGGTCCGGGCATCCTTAATTGAACTAGCCTCATTATAATACTAAAAATCATACCCCCAGGTCAAAAGACCCTTGCCCAGATGAACCCCCCTCCTCAGAGCACAGGCATGGTACAAAGGACGCTGTCGCTTTAAGGCTAGCAGGAACCAAAGAAAGAAAAGTGATTAAGAGAGATTTTGAAATAACAGATAACTTGCTCTGAGCGTATCAAATGCTGCCCTGCGTTAACCAAGGGGTCCTTGATTTGTAGGGAGCCACTTAGCACCCAGGACTGCGCTAACCTGAAATAAATAAGCGATGTCTCTCCTGAGCGCGTGGCGATTGCGCTATCGCACGCCGGGCCACGAATCCGCTCTTCGGACAACGCTTCAACCGGAGCTTTACAGTGGGTTTTCAAGAATCAAAGCAAAAATAAACTGGGTTTTCCAATGTGCATTTTTTTTGAGAGACCAAGTGCATTCCCAGCGGAAGCATCAGCGTTTCCCAGCCAGCGCGCTGTAGCTCCCGCCAACGCACCCAGAGAAGGGGCAGGTTTTCAGAGCAAGGCAGGACTGGGCAGCCCGAGCCCTGTCCTCTGCGTCTCGAGCTGTGGGCAGAGCCAAAAGCCACCGAGGAATCTGTTTAGATATGGTGGGAGCGGATGGAGACCAAGCTTGTGGCTGTCACACGGGGACCCGTACCCATCCCACAGCCCAAAGGCTCGTCCCTTCCTACATGTCCCCTGTCCTGCTCGGGCACGTGCTTCAGCGCCCCCAGCTCTTACCTCTGCAGAGCACCAGGCGCAGAGCGGGCTCACGGCCAGGCACTGCTTGCAGGAGTTCACCCCGCGGGTGGTGCAGATGTTACCCCCTGAAACGGCAAAAGGGAGAGCGGTTACAACCTGCAGAGCCCCAGACCCACACATGTGCTGAAGTCTCAGTGCTCAGCTAGCAGCTTCATGAGCAGGGCTCTGCTCTAACCCCTTTCCCAGCCCCAAACCCCAGGTGCTGCCTCCTTGCCCGTTTTATAACCACCTCCCCAGCCCAGTACCAGCTGGGCTTCATCCTGCCCAGGGCTGAGCATCACTTCCCCTCTGCCAGCTCCTTCAAGGGTCCCCCCATCCCTGCAGTGTCACACACGTTGGAGTGAAGCCCCTACCACTGGCAGCGGGGGGACATCTCCCCTTATGCCTCCCTGCACACATTTTGGGGCAGCAGGGATGGGGGCAGGGGTGAATTCCCAGGGGTGCAGCATGGTACCCACAGCCTGGCCGGCAGCCAGAGAGCTGCCGCCTCCTCCCACTGCCCCCGACGCAGGGTGGTCGATGCCTTCTTGTGCAGGCACTAAACTCAGCAGCTGGTCTTGGCTCGGGTTCAAACCCAGGGAGAGGAGGGGAGGGAAAGGGCACGAGTCCAGAAACTTGCTCGCCGCGGTTTGCACCTACGCTCTGGGCAAAGGTTGGGCTCTGTCAGTGGAAGTGGCAGTGGGGACTTTGGGGCACACATGCTGGCACCAGTCGTGAAGGACAGAGGCCAGTGGGTCCATGTCAGGGCTTCAAGGGCCCCAAAATGCCCTCAGGGGCTCCAGGGCAGTGGCCAGTGCATGCTGGGGCAGGACTGTGCGGCTCTGCAGTTCCCGCTGCCAGCGGCCGATACGGCGAGTGGCTGGGGGCACGGCTGCGGTGGTCTCACCCTTGGCTCTCTCCCCCTCCCGGGGCACAAGTTTTAGGATTTCCTGGGCAGAGCAGACTGCAGACATGTGCCTGCTTGGCTGGGGGAACGCTGCAGCCTGGGGAGCCTGGGGGATGCCGGCATGGAGCAGTGGGCGCTGGGGTGTCCCCCTTGCCCTGTGTCTCCCCATCCCTGCTCTGGGCTCTCCCCGGCAGCTGCAGGCAGAAAAAGTGTCATTTTCTGCAGCCGCAGGAAATGCAACATGAAACAGAAAGAGGAAATGGTGAAACGATGTCATCAGGTCTTTGGGGAGAACCACGATGATGGCACCGTGTGCTTGTGTCTGCTGGCGTGCAGTCCAGGAGCATGAGCGCATGCGTGTGAGCGTGCATGGCGGCTGCGTGTGCAGCCTCAGGGATGCGTGTGTCTGCACCAGGGTGGTGTCACAGGCTGAGCTGGACACGCTGTGGCTGTCCCGAAGGTCAGTGGCTGCTCCGGGACGTGCCCCAGGGCACTGGGGCTGGTGTGCCCCTTTGGACCTCTGCCACCCACACCCTCTGCTGGTCCCACGCAGTGGAGCTAAACTAAAGGCTAAAACCCAACTGCCTGGCTCCGCACCAGTTTTGGGGTTGTATCTGCTCCCAGAGCTCTCACCATACACCAAAACACCCAGCTGCAGCCTGTGAGCATGGGAAAGACTTTAAATTTAGCATTGCTCAAAAGAGCAACAGGTTGATCTCCGGTGCTTTCTGCACCAAGGCCACTTGGCAATGTGTTCGCAGCAGTACTGCTGCCTGGGGTGGGTGGGTCTGGGTGGCCCGGGCTCAGCGGGGAGAAGGCAAAGGGCTCTCAGAAAGCAGCAGCGGTGCCAACAGAGCCGGCTCCCGCTTCTCACGCCTGCTCCCACCGTGTCCACATGAAATCCTTCAGCCTTGCCAGGAGCCGGCTGCTGCAGCCCAGCATGGGGCACGTGCCTTGGATTTGCGCTGTGCTGTGCAGGCAGGGAGCCAGCTTGGGGATGGGCACGGCCCTGGCAGCTCAGCCTTCTCAGGGCTGCCAAGCCCAGGGCCACATGCCCGAAGATGGGAACAGCTTCCGAAACCGCAGGTCCCTGGGGAGCCCCGATGCTTTGATACCTGAACCAGCACCATGGCCCCTCGGTCAGGGATGGGGGGAGATGCCAGCCACGCTCCCAGACAGGGGACAGGACCATCCAGGATGGGAGATGCGCTGATCCAAATCATATCTCAAGCAGGTTTCCCCCGGGACTTGGGCCAAGTCCCTCAGCTGCTCCCTGCCTCAGTTGCCCCTGTGCAGTGTTAACCCTGGTCTCAGCAAGACCCGGCTGCACTGAAACACAATGTGGAGGATTTCCAGGCTTGTATCTGCTGGCCAAGCCCCTGGCCACCTCCGCTTTGCCTCTTCACGCCACAAGACCTGAGCTCTGGGGCTAATGAGCCCCAGGACTCTCCCTTTGGGCTGGAGGCTCATCTGCTCCCCAGATTTGGTACAAATCACCTCCTGCCTGTGCACAGCCTCTGGACCCCGGTGGTTTCCTCTCCTCCCCTCCTGCCGCCACCCCACAGCCCAGGAGTCCTTGATCTGGTGTCCCCCCTCCATGCAGGAGATGTAAACCCAATTTTCTCACTGATTTTGGCACAAGGACCACAGGCCAGGCTGTCCTGCCTGGGCAGAGATGGGGCTGCAGCATGGAGGGTCCCTGCGGGAGGGATGCTGGCATGCCCAAGGCTGCCCTGGGCTCTGCCATCACATTGTGCCACCATGCCATTGCTGGCAGCGGTGGCTTTGCCCGGGGGGGTCTCTGCAGGTCAGTACCCACCCTCTTGGGCTGCCTGAAGCCCCAGCCCAGGGGTGTCTGCCCCAAACTCACGCAGCCCTGTGGTCCCCTTCACTCCATGACCAAGACACATGCCCAGGGATGGAGGACCCTTCCCCAGCCTCCAGCACCGTACAGAGCCATTCTTGGCTGCAGGTAACCCAGGGTTGGATGGAGCAGGGCCATCCCTTCCCCCTGGGAAGGGGCCGAAATCCCCCTAAGACAGGGCAGTTACCACCATCCAAACATGTGTCTTGTCCTGCTGTGGGCAGGCAGCCTCAGCCCAGGGCCACATGCCCGAAGATGGGAACAGCTTCCGAAACCGCAGGTCCCTGGGGAGCCCCGATGCTTTGATACCTGAACCAGCACCATGGCCCCTCGGTCAGGGATGGGGGGAGATGCCAGCCACGCTCCCAGACAGGGGACAGGACCATCCAGGATGGGAGATGCGCTGATCCAAATCATATCTCAAGCAGGTTTCCCCCGGGACTTGGGCCAAGTCCCTCAGCTGCTCCCTGCCTCAGTTGCCCCTGTGCAGTGTTAACCCTGGTCTCAGCAAGACCCGGCTGCACTGAAACACAATGTGGAGGATTTCCAGGCTTGTATCTGCTGGCCAAGCCCCTGGCCACCTCCGCTTTGCCTCTTCACGCCACAAGACCTGAGCTCTGGGGCTAATGAGCCCCAGGACTCTCCCTTTGGGCTGGAGGCTCATCTGCTCCCCAGATTTGGTACAAATCACCTCCTGCCTGTGCACAGCCTCTGGACCCCGGTGGTTTCCTCTCCTCCCCTCCTGCCGCCACCCCACAGCCCAGGAGTCCTTGATCTGGTGTCCCCCCTCCATGCAGGAGATGTAAACCCAATTTTCTCACTGATTTTGGCACAAGGACCACAAGCCAGGCTGTCCTGCCTGGGCAGAGATGGGGCTGCAGCATGGAGGGTCCCTGCGGGAGGGATGCTGGCATGCCCAAGGCTGCCCTGGGCTCTGCCATCACATTGTGCCACCATGCCATTGCTGGCAGCGGTGGCTTTGCCCGGGGGGGTCTCTGCAGGTCAGTACCCACCCTCTTGGGCTGCCTGAAGCCCCAGCCCAGGGGTGTCTGCCCCAAACTCACGCAGCCCTGTGGTCCCCTTCACTCCATGACCAAGACACATGCCCAGGGATGGAGGACCCTTCCCCAGCCTCCAGCACCGTACAGAGCCATTCTTGGCTGCAGGTAACCCAGGGTTGGATGGAGCAGGGCCATCCCTTCCCCCTGGGAAGGGGCCGAAATCCCCCTAAGACGGGGCAGTTACCACCATCCAAACATGCGTCTTGTCCTGCTGTGGGCAGGCAGCCTCACCCCCCTCACTGCAGGGAAATGTCCCTATTTTGGCATTTCCAGCGCTGCTTGCGTGGCTGGAGGCAGGGAGCAGGATCAGGAGGGAGGCGGCGAGGGGGGGCCTTGCGGTGATGCAGGAGCAGAAGCACCAGCGGAGGAGAGCGGAGGATGCTGCAGCTTGAGCCCCCTCAAATTGTGCCCGAGTGCCCAGCGGCGCTTCCCAGGCTCAGGACGCTGCCCGGCTGTGAGCAGGTTAACAAGATCCCAGCACAGCCTAAACTAATAAATTCTGTGGTTTCTAGTTCACCCCCCCCTTTTTTTTTTAATTTTTGGGGCTTGTTTTTCCAGCCATAAAAAATAATAAACCCAAGCCCAAAAGCTGCATTTTTTTTTTACTATGAAAGCAGCTGGTCTCACATAATGATCTGATCCTAAAGACTCAGGCTTTAAGAAAAAATAAAAGAAATCCTAGCACAAAAAATACAGGGGAACGGGAGATAAACTGGGCAGCATGGGAACCACCCACCTGGGGCTGGGGAGCGCTGTGGCCCTGAGCCATGTGAAATGATGCACTCGAAATACCCCAGACGTCTCTGGCTGAGCATCACCCTTCCCTGGCTGGAGAAAATTACTGAAAATTACTCAGTCCCCAGTCTGCACTCCAAATAACCCCCTCTACGTACGCCTGAACCAGCCGCACACTTTGTTTTTTCCTCCTCCACCAATTTGAGCAAGAATGTGCACACAGAAAACTTGCTAAAGATACGACAGAAACCATACTTAAATCCTCTCTGGCCTTTCTGCTTGACTCAGTGATAAGAACTTGGGCTTTTCTGGCTGATCTCCTGCCCACACCATCCTGGGACTGTGTTTTTTCTCTGAACCTCTCTCCCTGTCTGCCAGCATCTTCCCCGGAGAGGGGATGCTCCAACCTGAGCTCAGCTCAGGCACCAACGCACAGGACCGGAGAAATCACCCGCACAGCCCCAGAGTCAGCTCCATCAACTCCAGCTCTTCCAGGGGTTACCCTGCGTCCTGCCCTGATGACAGCTCGCTCAGGCAGCAGATCAGAGCCTCAGGCTCTTCCTGGGAATTCACCACAGTCTGGCGTTCTTTCGACAGAACAAAACCCCCAAACCCCTTGAGTCTGGCCTCGAAAACAATGGGACTGATTTATAAAAACCATTTTGCAGTGGCAGGATTTACTTTGAGCCCCGGAAACGCACCTGGGGAGGAGATAACACTTCTCTTGGCTGCTTCTCCATGCTTCAGACATTGGAAGGTATTTTTTTTTTTTAAATACAAACTACATTTTTCCTAAATCACCTGGTGCCAGAAATCAGAGTTTTTAAAGAAGAGCACCAAAATAGCACAAGAAAAAAATAACACAAGACAGCAGTGCTGACTTAGATACACAACCTGCCCTTAAAATGACATGGATACAGCGACTACCTGCCCTGCAAACTTCCCCGGCGTATTTTCTGTTTATTAAGGACGGAGCCCAAGTCACACCCCAGTCCTTCCATTACAAACCAGTACCCGGAGCCAAACACAGCGTAGGTAGAGAACTTGCCGCACCCAGTGCGAGAATAACGCACCAAACCATGTCTTGACTCTATAACTTCTTTGAGAAGCCCTCCTGGCCCCGACCCAGCTGAAGCCCAACCGGCTTGAGCTCTGCTTTGTATTCGGGAACACACGGAGGTTTCAGGCTGCCAGCTCCCCCCCGCCCCGAGCGATTTTCCTGGGAAATCACAGACCCTAGGAATGCAGAAAGCCCTGGGATTTGGGGAAATAACAGGCAGTATAATCACTAAATGACCTGGCTTTAAGCAAGCGACAGCGCCACGAGCTATAAACCTACCCCAGCCGCCAGCAGCGCAGAGCACAAGGATCCCGAGAGCCGCGTAGAGTTTTCCCATCTTCTCCTCCGAGCCCCGAGCGTGGGGGGCTGCTCAGAGCAGCCCTGGCGTGAGCGATGGAGAGCAGCTCTGGGGCGGCTGGAGGTTTTGAGGCTTTCGAGGAGATGAATCATGAGTCTGGGTGCATGACACGCACAGGGAGCGGGGCCTGCCGGAGGAAACTGCGCTGTCTGTCACTCAGTTTGAGTCAGGGAGGGCCCCCGCTCCCTCTGCCTGCAGCTCCTCATGCTTTTTTTTTTTTTGCTCTCTCAGCTCAGACAAGGACCTAATAAACCCTGGCAGCCAGTACACGGCACTGGTGACCTACAGCCCTGGGGCTGGTAACTGGCTCTTTCCCATAGGCTCTTTTGCCTGGGTTTAATTCCTTGCAAAGTCTTGCTCACTCCCTCCTTTCATTAACTCTTGCATGAAAGGCAGCCTGGCTTTTAAACCCAGTCTGAGCTGCCTCTGAGTTCAAGGATTTAAGGGGAAATAGAGCAAGTACATACAGACACGAAAGTGTGGGGTCTCAGCTCCCCTCCCCAGAGCACTGGTGCAAATGGGAATATCTCTGCTGAAACGGAGCTGGGAGCTGAGCAAGATCCAGCCAAGAACTGGACCTGGTGACACCAGCAGTTCGGTTATAAACACCAACATCGCAGGGAGGGGGAAGTTCAGCTTTGGGTCAGATAATTTGGACCTGATTTTCTTCTTACTTGTATTGGTTTTTCCCCTCTGTGTCCTCAGAAATTGCCTCTGTACCGAGCAAATACAGGGAGTCGGATCCGCACAAGAATTGTCCCCACTGAAATGCTGGAGCTCCTTGTGGGTGCCTCCCGAAGGGAGGAATTCCTGGAATTCCAAGGTCCTTCTCGGAGATGGGGAAACTGAGGCACTGAAAATACAGGCTGGAGGGCAAAAGGGAGAGAAGGGCTGTTTCCCTGGAGCCCTGGGCTGCTCCCTCCCACTGGGTGACAGCGGCTGGGGTCAGTAATGATACAACCCTGGGTCAGGACGATCCAGCACACAGAAACTCCAGGCAGCAGAAAACGAGCTCGCGTGGGTGCCGAGAGCTGCAGCTGCAGGCTGGCAGTGCCCAAAGCTGCGGGGTGATGTGCAAGGTGCTGCATGAGAACCAGCCCTACGCTGGGGGAGATGGGAATAACGGCATCTGCCCCCGAGCCCGACGGCTCTCAGCAAGAGATGATGGTGTTTGGGAGGGTGAGATGGAGGTGGGGACTTAGCCTCAGGAGCCGGGGACTTTTCTTGGCATTAAAAGAAGTTTTGGTGCCTCTTTGCTTCCCCACTCAGCCCCACCGTCCCTGTGGGGTGCTGCTGCCCTCCCATGGCTACATGGGCTCTGCTCAGCAGGGGATCATTTTCCTTCTGGGCTCCAACTCCCTCTCCAAGACTTGTTAATGAGGATGTGGACTAGGAGAAGCCCATCGACCCTCATGCAATGTCAGAAAGGGCTGCACCTTGGCTGGGACGTCAATAACAAACCCCAAACCTGCTTTCTGGGGGACCCTTGGTCTCACCCTACTCCAGATCCCGGAGCCATCTCTCTCTGCATACCCTGTTAGCCAGTTTTAGGACATTAAAATTCCTGCTTTTCTTGCATGGATCCTTCCCTCCCTGCCTGGAAATGCCATCTGCGTGGCCCTTCCCTGTTGTGCAGGGTTTTCTGGCCACACGGCAGCCTGTCCCTGTAGCACCCTGTGAGCACACCTGATGCTTCATGGAAGCAATGACAATGAATTTGTTTCAGTTTCTCTAGAGAGAAACGTGGGAGCCCTGCTTGGCCCTGCACACCCCACAGATGTGACCTGCCATCGATCTCGCAGCCCCCTGTGCTGGGGGACTCGTCCTGCCAAGCAGCTGGTTGCTTGAACTAGCAAGTGCTCCAAGGGGACACGCAGCCCTGTGTGCTCTGAAACTCCCCACGATGCTCCAGCCCTTGCTTCCAGCATGGTGCAAAAACTCTGAAGAAGGAGAAGTCACAAAATTAAGTGTTTGCCCTGCCTGCACCCGCCTGAGCTCTCGTCCTGCCTGAGGACTGGGATGGCATGAACTTAATTCAGCACATGTGGACTGAATTTCCCTGCCAACTGCAAGAAGATGCTGCTTGGCCTGAAACCATCACCATGAGTTTGACTCTGGGGGCTGTGTAAGTGATAATGGGATGCTCTGGCTATTGAAGTCCCTGTCTGGATTAAGGCAAGAAGCAGGCAGGGGTGTTTGAGAGCTGAGCGGCCCCAGGGCCCCGGCTGCCCCGTCACTGCAGGCTGTGACCCAGGAGCCATGGGTGTAGAAGCCCAAATCCATGCTTGGGTGTGCAGGGAGAGGCTGGAGCTGGAGCCACAAGAGGGAGCAGAAACTCCTTCAGTCTGGGAGTGAGCCATGGAGAGGAGCTCCCACCCGGGCTGGGGCACCCCCCCTGCTCTGCTTTCCCGTGGGGATTTTTCCTGCCCCTCAGGTTAAACACGAGCAGACGCTCTTGTTCCATCAGGGCTTTCCACCGCCCTCCTGCAAGTGCTTCTGCTGCAAACTGCCCTTGCAGCCCGGGCAGCCCTTCAGGGAGAGAAACGCCACATGCAAAATGAGGAGGAAAAAGCAACAAGTAAAACCCAAGCCAAATGGTTTTCAAGCCCCTAAAGTCACAGCAGCAGAACGGGGACACAGGTCCCAGCCGCTTAAAAGGAGAATCAAAATCGCCGCTCTCTCTACCACGCCGCCCTCCATCCTCAGCCAGGCAGCCTCACGCTCCTGCCTTTAGCTGCAGTTTATCAATTCTCATTTAGGTTTATTAAAATCCCCTCCAGGGGCTGGGCAAAGAAAGCGAGATGTACACAACTAATCCAGGACAAGGCCCCCCCATTGTGGCTCCCGAGTGATCTGTTCTGTGCCATCCAGACACGTTTCCCGGCAAACACCACCGGGCAAAGCCGGGACATGGCAGTTCCACGGGCACAGCCCTGGGACGGGCAGGGTCGGGACCGAGCCTGACATGGCTAGACACCCCCGACTTGTGCTTTCACTTTGGGATCTTATGCAGACAAGGAGAGGGGAGCGGTGATGGAAATTCCGCTGGGATTCCCTCAGTGGGGCTGCGGGGCCGAGGGAGAGGGTCTGCCATGGGCGCAGCAGTGATGCTGCTGTAGGACCCAGAGCCGGGGACAGGGCAGGAAGGGGTGTTGGGGAGAGATCAGGGTGCAGCATCACAGTGCTCCCCTTCGAAGGGGCTAAAGGAGCCGGAGGGGGAGAAGAAGGAGACAGAGGTGCCCGGGGAGGAACCCCCCAGCCTGGGGAAGACAAGGATGCAGGGAGGGGGATGGATCCGGCTCTCATCTGGAAGCGCAGGAGAGGCATCGCTGAGCAGAGCTGGGGGTGGACCGGGCTGGATTGGGCCAGCGCTGCTCTGAGAAGGAGTGGGTGGCAGAGAGCAGCAAGCGAGGATCGGGGAGAGCAGCTCTGACCTGAGCCTCACGGGGGGGCCTGCGTGGGGGGGACTG